CGTAACGCTGCGTTAGTAAGCGTTTTTTTTTAATTAAATAATAAATTTTAATGACAAAATAGCATCGCTACATGAATGTGTTTCGATTTGAATGGTGGCGTATGACAGTGAAATTGCAGGGTACAGAGACATAAAACTATAATCCTCGGGAATGGCAATCCATGAGGGGTACCACAGGTATCACAGTATATCCTTTAATGCCCATGTTAATTGTACTGTTCATGTTTATAGACGACGGTTACTATTTTCCCTTAAGTGGGTCGTCAGCTTGTTTGCTATTCTAAGTATCATGAAAAAGAAGGATGTTCATCATTTTAATATCACCTTGCAAATATATAGATATCAGTCGATATCTATATATATCCATAGATACCTACATATATCTGCAAATACATATAAATTAAGCCTAACCACCTAACCAATTTCATATCAAACAAACGATTTTATCGGATCAATAGCCAAAATTTCAGTCCTATGTGTATTGGTTAGTAACATCGGATAGCCACCGGTCAAACAACGGTGAGATGATATTAATCGGGATAATTCTAGCGGAAGCTATTACTCCGCCATCTATGTCGCATTTGATGAACTTTGTGGTGTAGTGGTTAAATAGACTGCTTCGCATTTCGACAGTTGCGAGTTTGATACACGTAAAAGCGAATATTTTTATTCATATCTTAGGCATCATTTTATATAATAAACATATCTTATGTTTTTTATGTAATAAAAAGATATTTTAAAGTAGTTAGTTATTTAGTAGCCACAGAATAAGTTCTTCAGAATCGGCTTAATTAATTAAATAACTGATATCTTTTGTTACACACAATTAAATGAAAGTATTGTAGAAATATGCATTATAAGTTTTTGTTATTGTACTAAAAGTATAAAAGTTCAAAATAACTCTTAATTGAAAGATCCACATCCGGCTCGAAGGACCACTAATCCGTACATAAAATTCGTTTATTATAAATCTAATGATAGTTGATTAAAGCTAGCATAGCGGTAGCAGAGCGTCATTATTACACATAGACATTTTTGATAGACCTAACCTGAACTTAAATAATGGAAGAGATAGTAGAAATAAGCTTAATAATATTCAGCCAGTAATTTTCATTAAACCTTATTACACACAGTATCAATTCCCTCGCTGCGGCATAACTTTATTGTTTTTTTATAGCCTCTCGTGTTTGATGAAGCGAGTCACTCCCACTTTTATTTTATAGCTTGCACTTCATTTAGCCACAGTGCCGCTCGTGTGCACTTAGCATTTGTTTTATTGCGTCACTTAAGAGCGGTTATGTGGTGATTTCGTAATATATTAACACTTAATTTTTCCACTCATTTGTGTGCGCTTAATGTTTATTGATTTTCAAATTTTGACTGGCAAAGAAAAGGGAACTTTTCCTAGGTGCTTGTAACTTTGTATGTACGAGTATGTGTACTCTCTTCAGATTCTCAACGAACACTTCTTTAGGCATGTTGAGCACTGAGATGGCTATGGTAATTCTCGTATGTTGTGGCATTCCTGAAAATAGAAGTGTTATGTCTTAAAAATGTATTTGCAATATATTTATATGAAACAATTTCATAGAAAAGATATATTTTTTTACATTCAATAGAAAAAAAAATCATGGAGTAGTTAGTGTATATATATATATTGCTCAGATTCATATATATTCATTTTCGTGTTAAAAGGCGCAATCTTTGTAATTTTATCACTGTACTAACTTTTACACACAACTTCGTCCGTTTGACTGGAATATATTTACTGGCCATAATAAAAAGTAACCCATGTCTTTCTCCATCCCATATAGTACCTATATACCAAATTTCACAATGATTAATTAAAAAATTAAAAGTAAAAAAAAAGAACTCACTCACTTTCACAAGGGGGAAAGGGATTGTTGGTAATGGGGTCTAAATAACCCCATTGCTAGCAATACACCCTGTCAGGTCAACCTGCACGTGGTTCCCCTTGGAAACCATCCTGGGTAATTCTAGTGGAATTCGTCACGATGGGCTAACTGACCTGCTTTCATTGTCACCTATCATCTCTTACTGGTGCCCCGCCAGCGTATACCGATAGCACAGGCGGGGTTACCATTCCATTATCATCCATTAAAAAACAAAACTCACTTTCACATTTACAATATTAGTAAAGATTCCACCACTTCTAGTATCTACATATGTTTGTATGCCGTACAGGCTAAATATGTCGAACGATATTATATTGTCAACGTCTGCATGTATTTATACGCATGTTTTACAAAAAAATCTTGAATCTTCGAAAAAAGTCAAGTCAAGAAACTCTAACACCCTATTTACGTATATAAGAATAAAAAAAGTACACGAAACAAAGCGTTAAAAGTCCGTAAAAATAGTAAAGGTGGAGTAGATATTGGCTATAGATAAATTGTACAGCAACATGCCGGCTACAACATCCGTTCGCAAATAGCTGCTCAGATATGAATGTGTTCACTGGTCGAGATGCATTCACTATCGCATCGTTAGATATATCCGCTTTATCACAAGCGCAAATAAACACTAAAAACTAGCCGATAGTTTTGCAAGCCATTGCAATAGTGTTTGCAACGGTCCCGCGAGTGTATCTATGAATAACATTATTATCTGTTTTTTTTTTAATGTATTCGAATTGCGGAAAATTCTAATTTTTTATTTTTTATTGTTATCTACAGTATACTATTTAATATAATTCTAAAATAAATAATAAATTTTAAAGTATTCATAAATACAGTTTCAGAATTCTTTTTTTAATTCTAAGAAAAAGTATTACCAAAAAATATTAACAAATACTAAACTAAAATAAAAAAAAAATTAAAAAAGTAAACCTAACGGCACTATACAGTATAAAGTATACTATATACATACCTATTATAATAAAAAATAGAGGAAAAAATTATAATACCTTTATAATGAATAACACTAGTTTTAAGACATTGATTACGTTAATTAACATATTGTATATTAAGCGGTATCTTAGGTTTATTTTTTAAATAAATTGTTAATTTACTGCCAATTTTTATCTTTCATATCATTATTAATAATCATTTACATTACGAGGGTCAAAACTGTAAGGGAGTCAAATTTCATGAAAATGTGTTCAGTAGCTTCTTTTTATATAAAAAATGTAACGTAAAATATAGTACAATAAATTAAATTGTACAAAACCGAAGCATGCCGTCCAATTTTGAGTTTTTCTCTTAAATTACTTTTTTCTCTCATAATTATCAAAATGATTCCATAATTGATTTAAAATACATTAAGTATACAAAAGTTGGAACATTTTCTCCAATTTTGAGTTCAATTACCGCGTTGTTTCGGTATAGAATAGGCCACCTCCTTCCTTTCTCGTGAGTGTCGTAAGAGGCGACTAAGGGAATTTAATGGTCAAAAAATGGGCAGTAGCGTCCCTTTTAGAACATTTCCAAGGTCTAACTGCGGTTGCCAAACCGCCTGCCAAGCATGACAACTACTGGCAAACCCGATATAGAGAAAGACCTATTTTAAGCGGACGACAATTAACGGCTGATATGATATAATTGATTTCAATTCAATTACTAATTTCCCTCGTATTACTAATCTATCGATAAGACAGATAGATAGATACTCTTTATTGTTTCCTCCAAAAGATTACAATAGTAAACTTATTGTAAATATAAATAATTACAAGAAATAATCACAATAAGAAAACGATAGACCTTATCGCTAAAAGCGATCTCTTCCAGGCAACCTTTGGATGGAGAGGAGTAATTATAATGAATTACTCCTCTCCATCTAAAGGTTGCCAAATTGTTTTGTAATTAAACAATTTGGTTGAAGGTACGTTGAAAATTTCTGTTAGTTCTAAATATAGAGATGTGATACATATAAAGATATAAATATTATCCCTACATAAGATAAGACCCCATCTCTACTAATATTTTTTTTTTATTTATTTATTCATTAGTACAAATATATGTACATGGCGGACTTAATGCTAAAAGCATTCTCTCCCATATTTTACGTTTAAATTTGAATTGTTGTACTCGATTATTATTTTGTCTTACAATAATATAAACCATCGACACGGCCCCATCCCTACTACTCATCTCCCCTGAGCCGGCATCGATCAGCCGGTAATTAACTGTTTGTTAACCGATCGACTCGCTCTGTTCCCAACTCGTGTGTAGCCTATCTGGTAACGCGATATCCTTACATGCCCTAATATAATTAAATCTGAGCTCCATTTAACTGGAATCCAGTATAATATACATTCATTTGTTACGTTCTCAAAGTGTTTTGTTAGAATCAGGTTAGTCCCATAAATAAGTCCTAATGTAATTTATATTCTTATTAGTTGTAGTAGATTTATAGGTAATTTGTATTCATAGATTTTGTCTAATAGTTTTAGATACAACATATCCGCCTTTGATTGTCAACTGTTGAACATAAGGGTGAGGCCTTGGGAGGTTTTACTAGTAATTGTCATGCTTGACAGGCGGATTGACAACCGCAGTTAGACTTTGGAGATGTTTTGAGGAGATGCTTTACTGCTGCCCATCCTTCGTCCTCCTTTAGTCGCCTCTCGCTTACGAAAAGGGAAGAGGTGGCCTATGGGATCACACAGCTAATTCAATCACACTGATAAACATTTATTTAGATCCCCTTTTACGATACTCCTTTCCCGTAAGTGTCGTAAGTGACGACTAAGGGACATATATGGTGGACACATATGCAGCAGTGTCCTCTTAAAACATTAACAAAAATCAAACTACGTTTGCTAATTCGCTTGTCAAGCGTGGCAACTACTAGCAAAACCCCCCTTGTAGGGAAGGCTATGTTTAGCTGTGAAAGTAAACGTCTGATACGACCATGTGATTGAATTATAATATGTTTAAATGATATTAAAAATTAGTGTTATACTCATACATGTTGTTTAATTTAATTCAGAATGCGAATATAAATAATTGGCTAACAAGACATATATTTTTTATTTTCAGGTAAAAATATGGTTCCAAAACAGAAGAACGAAATGGAAGAAAAAAGATAACATAAGCAACGCTGAAGTAGCCGAGTTCAAGCAACAAACGAAACCAGTTACCGAAGAGAAGAAAGTCGACGAACAAGGAAATAAAGACGATCCGTTAGCTATAGACATGTCGAAGAAGAATTGTAATAAAATCTTAAGTGAGAAACTGAGAAGTACAAAACAAATAGTAACCCAAAATGTTTCGCCAAAACCTAGGAAAGTAGAGAAAGGTGTAGTTTTAGAGACAATATGCGATGCAAACGATATAGAAAGTAGAATTTCAATAACTAAAATAACGAATAAACTATCAAGTACAGATTTATCAGGAGAAGCTGGTAAAGTGTCAGTGAAAAGCTTCAGTGCTGAGGAAGTGAAAGAACTAAAATTCGACACTCTCAGTAGAGATGTTGAGATGTAAAGTTTTCTAGACTAAGTAGATATGTTTGGGCCAGTTTTGCAATCATTAAATCTTTTTTTAGGTACAATAATAATAATAGTAAAGTTTACGTAGATTCGAGTGAGGTATTTAATTGAGCAATGCTTTATTTAATTATCTGTAGAGTTTGAAATGATTTCATACATAGAAGGTAGACAGAGCATTTGAGATTGTCTTTGCATGCTTTTTAATTTGTATCTGTAAAATATAGGTAGAGATAGTATAATAGGCTCATTACGAATTGTACATAAAAAATTGGTAAGTCGTGTGAATGTTTTGTACGTTTTCGGATCTTAATTTAGCGTGATAGGAAATTTAGATTTCGTTCGATCTTCATTGATACGAGTAATTTATCTTGGTCTCTCTTGTATTGAAATTGCAATTTCAAATCACAGTTCCTATATTACTTTTTTTAAAGCTTTGATAATGCAAATTTGTTATTCCTCATCAGTATAATTGTCAATTCTAACAAATATGTAATGTGCTGTATATGGCTTATTAGAACAGAATTGAAGGATAAAAAGTAGCCTTCAATTTTGTTTTGGTTTCATTGACGTCCTTTGTCCAGCAGTCGGGTATAAAATGGACTTTGTACACGCCTTTGAGACATTTTTAACAGACTTCAAAATGGAGGAGGTTATCGATTTGGTTGTATTTTTTTATGTTTGTTACCTAATAATTTCGTTAATTATAAAGCGATAAGGAAAATTCTTTTATCTGAAAGGATATACTTACAGATTCGTTCCACAGAATTTTATCAGAATCTACTGAATCAGTAGTTTATTTTTTTAATCAAGTTATCTGATTTTGTCATAATTAAAGTGGAATACAATCTTAATAAATAAAATTACTTAAAAGGTTTTCTCCATCAAGGTCCAAGTTTAAAGCTAAGAATATATTCAATAACTATGATGTGGATCAGGAGGTGGACATAGGATTCCCATGGCAGTTGATGAAGTATGTAGTTTCTTCCAGTTTATATTAAATTGGTCTTGGTACCCATGAGCAGTTGGATCACAGATATAGACTGAGATAGATGACGTTAGTGCTTCAGCTTAAATTAAAACTACATATTGTATGAGAAATGTAATTGCTGTAATGTTAGAAAATTAGTCAGCAAACTCCGTTCGATACAAAACCCTTCGAAAGGAAGAAATATTTTTATTCAAGTAAACTTAGGTTTAAGCCTTTTTGAATTTTTTTCATTGCCACCCATTAGGAACACAATTTCGATTGCTAATCCTTAATATATATTTCATGTAGGAACTCCAAATAGATATAACATATAACTAAGTTTTACCCGCGACTTCATTCCACATGATTGGGATATATTCAGTGATCGGGATAATAGTAGTCTATAAACTTCTTTCTATCGTCTTCGTGGGTGTCGTAAGAGGCGACTAAGGGAACTTAATGGACAAAAGATGGGCAACAGCGTCTCTCTTAAAACATCACCAAATCCTAACTGCGGTTGCCAACCAATCTGCCAAGCGTGGCAACTACTGACAAAACCCCATCTTATGGGGGAGGCTTAGTTTCAGCAATGGACAGCTAACAGCTGATATGATGAAATCAAATTTCATAGTATGTTGTTAAGCTGTTACGACACTTGTTGGTAACAAATAAACAAACAAACTCACTTTTACATTATTTATACTCGTATTAGTAAGATTGTTACATTAACGTTATCAATCACGTTTCTAAATTTGTTACTTACCTATATGTTTAAAAATAGTAACTTGATTTTCTTGTGTCAGGTTCAGTGCTAGAGGTATAAAAGATTGTGATTAAGTATATTTAAAGAAAGGTTATTTTTATATATTTAGCTGGAATAAAAGAGGCTCCTTTGAACTAATTTTAGAACCAAGGCTAAGTGCCAAATACATAAATTCATCGAAGAAATCTTAATACACCCTATTAAGATTTCTTCAGGGTCGGCAACGTGCACGTGACAAGCCTAGTGTTACATATGTCTGTAGGCTACAGTGATCGTTTGCTATCAAAGATTTAAAAAAGTAACTATTGAGTTTCTTGCGGGCTCTTCTTAATAAATAACAACCGTCCGAACCCTGCAGTAGATTATAAAAAAAATACGAATTAAAAGTGCTTGTAAACCAGTCCTCTTGAATAAAGATGATTTGAATATAAATTCGAATCAGACGGACTGTACGCTTGTTTGTCATCTTTACGGTATAAAAAAAATGTTGATGCGACATCTATTTCAATCTATGTCTGTGACTTGACTGATAGAAACCAGAACTAAGGAACTTGTTACAAATTATCAAAAACTTGACAGATTCAGGTTATGTGACTACAAATTAGACTGTTTTGGGTACGTTTTGGTACTAATTAGAATTACAGCACATTTTTAGTTTGTAAACCTGTTTGGTTTTAAGGACTCTTAATAAACTCCCATTGATTACAATGAGGTCGATTCTGAGGAGCTCTTTCTTTAAACCTGTCCCTAAAATTTAAAATAATTTGATATTATATTACAATTTGATTTGAATTTTATTCTAAACATCAATATGAGTTAAATTTCCAATAGGGGGACTTTGTACAAAAGTCGATTGCTTGGGTACCTCTGTCCCATTCGTGTTTCAACCGTAAAGCAGTTGTGTTTGCATGGCTGTGTTTCGGTTTAAAGGGTGGGATATGGCGTGAATTTACTGGGTACAGAGGAATAACACCCGAGTCCTCAGGAATGGCAACGCATGGGGGGTATCATGGGCGAAACAGTATACTCTGTTATGTCCATGGTACTGCTCATGTCTATAGGCGACGGTAACCACTTTCCATCAGGTGAGCTGTCAGCTTGTTTGCCATTCTAAGTTGAATAAAAAAAAATATATATATAGATTTACTATCGTGTTTCTCTTATCCTATTTTTTTTTCTAATCAAACGAAAGTTTCTAATACAAAATCTTTAATTTGATAAAGGCACTTGTAATTATTTTCCTTAATGTTTTACGCTGTTAACTTTCTTAATTATACAATACTATTTATTTATTTAGACTTTTACACACATTAAAGGCGGACTACAGGGCGCACTTAATGCCTAATAGCATTCTCTACCGGTCACCCATTACGCTAAACAGAGAGAGTAAATGACGCTGAATTAAAAAAAAATGTAAATTAAATAAGTATTTAGAGAGATTACAACAATTTATGATAAATAAACATACAAACATATCGAATAATATATGTACTTACAAAGAATAATCATACATAATGCATGGGGGTTATCATGGGCGAAACAGTATACTCTGTTATGTCCATGGTACTGCTCATGTCTATAGGCGACGGTTACCACTTTCCATCAGGTGGGCCGTCAGCTTGTTTGCCGTTCTAAGTTGTATAAAAAAAAAAGATTTAAATTATAAATATTTTAAATTTAATTTCGAATACTTCATAAAGCAATAATTTCACGAAACTATCAAGTTAAAAAGTAAAAAGATAGGTTTTGTGAAATACAGCTTCAGAATCGACCACATTATCTGAAGTTTTTCAAACCATATCTTTCTTTTAAGTTTTTTTTTTCTATTATTAAACACGTGTCTGTGTCCTTCTGTCTGGGCTTACTTAACGTTATCTACATAATCCATAAATGTTCGAATATTATACAATATTTATTTCATTGTATTTTATTAAATATTGTGTTAAAATATTTAAGTTGGCATTGTATTGATAACTCTTAACATTATGTTACAGTTTGTGCAATAATCGACCCTATGTGTATGTAATAAGTACTTATGTTGCTTACATGATTACACCTAAGAAATAGGCCTGGATAATAATAAATTTAAGTGACTTGTATGTATTTTAATTTATGTAGTATGTGTTTTTAATGTGACAGTTACATGTATACGTATTAATAGATATTTTACTATTAATTAGCTACACGAAAATCTCTTTTATTGCATCTGTTTTAAGATTCTAAATAATAAATTTTTAATAATAATTTCTATAGTTTGTCAGATTGTCCTATTTTTTTCTTGTTATTCTGTTCTTGAATATGTCAGTGAGGAAATAAATTGTACTTTCATTATACCTTTTTTTTATTACTAACATTTTTTATTATTATTCATTTTATTAAACATATAAATAATTAGATACGTACTCGCAGCTCGCCATCGACAGAGAGTTCACAGCCATTACCTCAGTCCAGATTTTTGGGCACAGCGCGGATTCAGAGATGTATTCTCCTATAAACGGTTGACTAATAGAAGAAGCTCCCTATCGAAGTTTTTCCAAGAGACTACAGAACAGGATTCTGCAAAAAGCGTGTTCATAAGCTACGGCAACCGCTTACCATCAGGCGGGCTGTTTGCCAACTTAATGGTTAGAAAAAAAATGTATAAGTCGCGCATGGCTGTGTTTCGGTTTGAAGGGTGGGATATGGCAGTGAATTTACTGGGTACAGAGGAATAACACCTGAGTCCTCAGGAATGGCAACGCATGGGGGGTATCATGGGCGAAACAGTATACTCTGTTATGTTCCACAGACTGCCATAAAGAACGGTCATGAGCCCCCTGCATCCACTGACTCCCTGCAACACATTTCAGTTCGTCACTCCATCTAGTGGGGGTCGTCCTACATTGCGTTTACCTGTACGTGGTCGCCACTCGAGAACCTTTCTTCCCCATCGGTTGTCGGTTCTCCGAGCTATGTGACCAGCCATTTGCCACTTCAGGTTGCTTATCCTTCATTATTTTTTTTTTCTTAAATATCTTCCAAGGTCAAACCATTTTTTTTTAAATATCTTATAATAATAAAATAACAATTACATTTTTATAACATCATTGGATACTAAACTTCGCTTTGAAGTTTTATTAATTCTTTACATTATATCCGTATCGCATTACATTCGCATTTTCTCACGCGATACTAAGAAATTTGTATTACTAACGTGTGAACGTATTTCATTAAGTTTACAACCGACTTTGTAAATAAGGAGGTTATGTTTACGGGTATTATATAACAATTACTAAGTCACGCCAAAAATGCTCAGTATCATTTGTTTTTTTTTTTTTTATGTTGATATCGGCCATGTGTGCATTGCCGTGTGATTTCGGCATAGAATGGGCTATTCCATCCTTTCTCGTGGGTGTCGTAAGAGGCGATAAAGGGAACTTAATGGTCCAGGAATTGGCAGCAGCGTCCATCTTAAAACATCACCAGAAGCTGATATGATGATGACGAGATTGTGCAAGGTAGCACATAATAGTATGAGTGTAATCCAGCAGACTTGTTCACTCTGGAGAATAAAGAGAAAGATGCTGTTCGAGATCAGGCATTATAGAAGTTTTAATAAAAAGTAAAATTTTTCGCACTTGCAATATTAGAACCATAGACATAGACCGATCAGCCGTTAGAAAGTCAAACATTCAAATTTTGTTAACGGATAAGACTACACGCACCTTTGTATTTTTTTAATTTATTATAAAACTTGAGGCACGGACAAGTATTTTATTTCGTCAAGAACTTCTCAGCTTCAAGCGCAAACATACGTGTTTTGGTCCCTTCCCTTCCCTCCCTTGGATAAAGAAAGTAATAGCATTGCTACGTTTATAATAATTATAACAACGCCTGATATGCTAAACGATTACCAGAGGGAGACTTTGTACAAAAGTTATTTGCTTGGGCACCTCTGTCCCATTCATGTTTTTACCGTGAAGCAGTTGTGTTTGCAGAGCTGTGTTTTGTTTTGAAGGGTGGGATATGGCGTGAATTTACAAGGTATAAAGGAATAACACCTGAGCCCTCAGGAATGGCAACGCATGGGGGGTATCATGGGCGAAACAGAATACTCTGTTATGTCTATGGTACTGCTCATGTCTATAGGCGACGGTTACCACTTTCCATCAGGTGGGCCGTCAGCTTGTTTGCCATTCTAAGTTGTATAAAAATAATTAAAAAATCATCATTACTTTAGTTATTATATGTCCACTGCTTTTCTTCCTATTCAGGGGCTTTGCTGGTAGTTGCCACGCTTGGCAGGTGGATTGACAACCGCAGTTAGGTTTTTGGTGACGTTTTAAGAGGGACGCTGCTGCGTATTACTAGACCATTAAGTTGCCTTAGATGCTTCTTATGACACCCACGAGAAAGGAAAGGGGTGAGATGGACTGACTTGCTTTCATCTTCATCTATCATCCCTCTATAGTGCTCCGCCAGCATATGCCCATAGTGCAATCGGGGTTGGTTACCATTTCATTGTTATCCACAAAAAATACCACTAGAGGCAATACAAAGTTATATTAACTGCACTATAGGTATGAGTAACATCGGTTGCGCTCTGATATCTACCATATATATTTTTTTGATGAGTGAAAATGGTATGGTAACCCCGCCTGCGCTAACGGGATACGCTGGCGGAGCACCAGTGAAGGGTGATAGATGAGAATGAAAACAGGCCAGTTAGCCCATCATGATGAATTCATCAGGAATTAATAGTAGTTTCCAGGGAGAACCGCGAGGAGGTCGACCTGGTTGGGTATATTGCTAGCAATGGGATTCTCAGTCTCCATTACTGACAATCCCTTTCCCCCCGATATCTACATTAGATTCCTATAGATATTGATGAGAGAAAGAACAGTAATAACATATTTTAACGTCATCCACGCTATTTGGATATCTATTTATCGACATCTTCATTTTGATATTGTAACTATATCGGATTGCTAATATTTAATATATTCGTTATTATGTCAATTCATATATATTGTGACTACAATAGATATTTCTATATATTATCAACCTCTACTGCGAAAGAGAAACTTAAGATCTCAAAGTTAACTCCTGTTACTATTAACGCCATCTATTGCGTGATAAAACAACTAATAGACATTACAAGTCGGTTTATTTACACTATGATATACTAGATGGCGTCTAATATATTTTTTAATTTACATCTAATGAACACTTTTTGTAATATAATTTATAATTAGTTATACAGTTCCGTATCGTATAACAAAAGGATGGTGATTCGAGTTCTGTCGGTGGGTTTATAAAAGTGGCACTTGTTAAATATATATGGTAGTACACTGGGTGTATTTCTCATTCATGCGAGTGCTAGATTAAATCTGTGCCTCTAGTGAGAAAGGGTATAACTTTTTTTTCTTTTTTAGTAATAAATAATTTTTCTCTTTCGAATGGTATAAGAATCGTAACGATATCTTTAAAAACAATAGAGATAGTAAACATGTAAAAGGCTCAATTAACAAAATATTTGTGGTAAAAAAGTCATAATTAGTAAAACTACAAATTTTACAAAAATTATTTTTGGTATCAGGATTTGAACCCTTTTACACCATTTAATAGCGATTATTTTTTATAGCGTAAAATACACAACATTTTTTTTCTTCAATACTTCAATAAAATCGTTTTAATTCAACTTAAAACTATTTTCACATCATATATATTTTTGTTAAGTGTGATTAGGTATAATAGAATTCTTTTTAAAACTATAGGTTTTACACAAAAACCGACAATTTCATAAGAAAGAAGAGAAAAAATTACTATAAATGCAATCATTGACTTGTTCAATTAGCAAATAATAAAAGCAGCAGAATTTTTTTTCTTTATTTAAAATAGTTTTTTGGCTCTCCTGAAAAGTGACCATTTTGAATTGAACCCTTTCTCACTAGAGGCACAGAAATGTGTTACGAGAATCATGTGACCGCTAAATCGGACGTTGAGAGTACATAGACTTTTATACATTTTCCCTTTAGGGTAATATAGTATAAGAATAATACTCCATTATGAAAAGTTCGGAAAAAATAAGGTTTCAAAGGGATTTTCTGATATTTTTGGCATCGGTACTCTATAGGGCAATTCAACCTTGCTGAATACGATTTTGCCCCTAAACAAGTTGTTAACTGTGTTTTTCTTTTAATTTTCTACTAAACTGTTGGCGATAATAAAAAAAGACCGGCGTTACAGTGTGAATCTAGACTTAATAATTAGATAATGAATACAATTATTATTAATTTATATTGTGTATACTTTTCATTCGATTAATAGTTGAAAGTTTGTGTTTCTCAAAAAAGACTAGTTGTGGCTGAACCAGTTATTTTGGTCTCAAAACTAAACTACTGAACCGATTTTGATAAAATATCTTATGGTCATTTTATAGTATATCCTTTCAAATGAAAATGGATTTAAAACTAACAGAGTTATGAGCTGAAAATAGTTATTTAAAGATATAATTTCATTATTAGACGAGGTCTTGAATCCAACCCATAAAGACAATTTTGTATAGTGTCTCCCTCTGTTAGATGAGTTAAAAAACTAATAAACAGCGTACAAAAGCTACGAAAGTTCTTATATTAATAAGTGTTGCACTTAATTATAAAACTATAGTATTATATCGTAATTTCAGTCATTTATTTATAATTGACAAACAAAGACATTATAGTGTTAAAATTAAATTATAAATAAGGCCAAAATAACTAGTTTCACAAATTATTTAATAAAAAAAAGTAATGTGTAAAAGCGCCATCTGTGTAATTATGTAAAAACTTGTTTACTTATCGGACTGCTTCTTGTGGTCTTTATATGTTTACATAATGCACAGTTAATATTTTAAATTTAATATAGATGTCGCTACTGACTACAAATTTATCATAAATCTGTAGAGTCAATTCTGTACATGAAATATATTTTCAAAATAACTATCAGAGGTGATTAGTGATCGATACTGATGCCAAAAATGCAATCAGTAAAATTTTTGTCTGTCTGTATGTTCATTATAGAAACAAAAACTACTCGACGGATTTTAACGAAACTTGTCTATGAATAAGAGTTACTTTTGGATATTTTTTTAGTGGGTGATAATATAATGGTAATCCGCGCTATCGGTACACACCGGCGGGGCACCAGTGAAGGATGACAGGTGAAGCTGAAGGTCAGTTAGTCCATCGTGACGAATTCAACAAGAATTGTTCACGATGGTTTCCAGGGGGAACCACGTGGAGGTCGACCTAATAGGGTATATTGCTAGCAATGGGGCTATCAAACTCCATTGCTAATAATCCCTT